GTCTGAAGACTCTTAAATTCAAGACTCCTTCAAGACCAAGCCTCAAATATAGGGCTCAAGTCTCCAACCTAGCTTCATCTAAGTACCATTCCACTAGGAGTTTTCAAAGAGGCTTCTTTATAGCATCTCTAGATCATTCTAGAAAGAGAGAGAGGAAGGCAATAGAATACAGTTTTGTGTTACTATCCAAGTGGGCTTGGGCAAGTTAGTTAGCCTCTCTGTGAATGCTTCCCTTATCTGAAATAGAGACTTACAGTATTTACCTGGTACTTGTAAGAAATAAGTTAATGCATATAGAGTGCGTAGAACAGACCCTGGTTGTAATACTCAGTTAAGGATATGCAGTTTATTATTATACTGATGCTCAGCATCATTATTGTCATTATCATCTAAACCACCAACTGAAAGATCATGTTGTAAGATGTTTCTATCCGGTACTTTCCAGGTCCTGGCTCCTACAAGTCATTTAGAATTACGTTTATGAAGGCACTCTAAAGTGTCACCACATTCTGTTTCAAACATAACACAGCCTTCACAGTTTATATCCTAACCTCTCCTCCCAACTACATTTCTTCACCCAGTGCTTACAGCATCAACTTGTTAAATACCACAGAAATAACTAGAGAAAAGCTGACCTTGTTTTCTTTCACAACAAAATCGAATTTTCTTAGGATTTCTAATTAGATTCTACTTTCCCCTTAAAAATCTTTTGCTTCATTCAGAGGAGGATCCTTTCTCCAGTAGATTATTACCATGCCCTGCCTAGACTCACAATCTTGCATACACAAAGGAGCAGATTTTTGCTCCTGAACACAGCAACAGCACACTATCATAACAGAACTTCTGCCAAGGCCTGACTTTCAATCTCATTGTAGCTAGGAAGTAATTTTTTCTCTTAAATTTTCCTAGGAGAAGAACAAAAAGAAGAGGACAGCAGCTGCTGCCACTTAAGGGAGGAGACAGCAACACAAAAGCCCTTTCGCCAGCAAATTTCTTAACTCCCTAAGCGGGCCTCCCACCACTATCTATTTAAGTTCATGCTGCCAGGAATTCTAGACCACTCCAAATAGAAGGAACTGCTCCCACCGCAGTCGCCACACTTCCAACGGCCACCCAGCGCTTTGCCCCTCTTACAGACTTTTCAGTCATGATACACAGCCCATCAGTATCCTCTACATTCCATTTCCTGTCATGGGAGAACAGGCTGTAGTAAAAAAACATAGGTCCTTGGATATACACAGAATATCCTACTTTAAGTTAGGAAAACATAGTTTTAAAACTTGAATGAATAACTAAAATATGAAAATATTCAGAGTCCTGCCAAAATAGGAGAGGTTCTAAAAATATTTTCTCTTTCAGTGAGGTCAGCAATCAGGTTAGCCTGGATAAGAATTCCCTTCTGTCTCTTTCTATGACACAAATGCACTCATCCTATGCCCATCTAAAAACAGCCAGGAGCCAATCTCTGAGCAGTGATACAGGAGTAGTGCAGTAAAACTTTCCATAAATATGCAGCCATTTTCTCTTAAGAAAAATCTAGTCTTCATTTTCTTCCTCATATTTCATGAATGATTTATCTTGTTGTAACAGCTACTTCCATTAATTATTCCAACACTTTCCATCAAAATATATATTAAGTTTCAATCCTGAAATCATGACTGGGATTCTAAAAGTAGCACAGCATTAATAAGTTTAAAAATATTGCTCTTATCTTAATGAAAAACTTAAGTCTCCCTAAATAAACAGAGCCAGAAGGGGAAACTCTCTTACTGGGTGGCACTGTACTAACAGCCAAACGCTGAAGCAAACTATTCTAGACTGAAAAGGAAACATACCTAGGGGCATCTCATCACCATACATCAGAGAAAGAGACTCAGCCAAACACTGCTTCAACACAAGTTTCCACTAACAATTACAATTATCTTTTGGATATACATTTTTCTAGATACTACTTTAGTTTTTAAAATTAACAACAACCACAAAAAATGCAACTTCTTGGTCCTCAAGCAATAATTAACTTGATGAATATCCATCATCTAAGAAGACTAAACAGAATGTATTCTTAACTTTGAAGCTCACAACAAAGCAAGTAAGAACATATTTGAAGTTAAAATGAGTTAAATGCTCAGAAGTACAATGTCAGTCCAACCTAAATGTGAAATTATACACGCTTCAAAGATACTTGCTCCACTAATATTTTTGTTAAATCTACTTTGCATCCTCATTGTACATTTTAAGCAGAGAAATTTGAAGAATCAATTCGAGCTTTGGAAACTGGCTCTCTAGCAAGTCTGACCTTCCAAATAACTTTTCAAGTAACACTCAATTCTTCTAAATCTCAAATGGAAGGGCAGTCATGTGGGCATGGATTTGTCACAACAGTTCACTAATACCTACAGATCTCTCCAGAAAAAGCATACGATACAGAGATTATCAGATCCGCAAATGACTGTCATTCCCACACTCCAAGTACATGTTACCTTCCTGTAAAACCAATTAGCAAAACATGCATAAAATCCAGAGCTAACAAAATAGTCTCTGAGGACATCTATCTGGGTAAGTGATAGAATTTATTTTTAAAAAGCTATTTTTCAGGGGGATGTTTCAGATTTAAACATACTTAAAGAGAAAAGGAAAGATCTTAAAAACAGTGAAAACTAATTTCAAACTGCTGAACACTGTTCTTTTCTACTGTATACAACACTAATTTTTTTTCTTGAAAGAACACTATTCCCAACTGTCCTGCTCAGGAATCTTTAAAATAACTTGGGCTGATAACTTTACTGCCAAAACTATATATTTTAAAGCTTACCAGTCCAATGTATAAATATTATGACATCACTTATTCAATTTCAAAAAGCAAATAAACACAAGTCTAACATACACTGAGTATTTTCCTCTGTAAAGCAAGGACCACAGAATAAGTGATCAAGAAATTTCTAGTTTCTCTCTCATATTTAAGTATCATTATTTACACAAATGCATGACAGTCTTTTATAAAGTTGCTAACCATACTACCTATAATCCTGCCACCTTCTTCTCCTTCCCGCTAAATTACCACTGGGAAAGTCTGGCACTGCCTTTCAGCTCTGAAAACTACCATGGAGCTATTTCAGGTCACTGCCTTATTTGGTTGGTTGTTTCTCTTTTTTTTTTTCTTGGTAGTAAGAATAACCCAATTCCTTAGTGAAAAGTACTAGTTTCTAAATGATTCTTTTTAAAGTAACAATAAAGTCTTTTCATTTGAGAGAAAAAACCCAAAGGCAAGGTTCATATAATTTAAGTCTAACATTCAAGTTCTATTTTCTGACTCAACTTTAACTGGTAAGTTTTTTCATAGGCTTTAAAATCTACTTTGGAGACACAAAAGTAAAAAATAATTGCTCTTAGAAAATTTATAAAATCATAGTTTCAGCTTCACTTCTTAACATTTGGATATTTTTCTATATTAACATTATCCTTGAAAATTCTAATTTATATTGGACAGTATGACAAAAATAGCATTCTACTTTTTACATGAGTAATTGCCAAACACTGCTGATTATTTTATTTTCTCTTGAGTTAAACTACAAGACTCTTAGATATATAATCTGTAGATTTCCTATATCTAACACATGCTAGTGGTATATTATAAATTAGAAAAAGAATCCCTTGAATTAATAAAAGCACAACAGAAAAATATAGCCTCCAAATTAACGACTTCTAACAGAAGTTACACTGTTCATGCGCTATGCATCTTCAGATGTCAGTATAAATACTGGGATGGGTGTTGACTAAAGAATTTTGGGGGTTTTGTAGGTGTGTGGCATTACTGAATATATGCAATTTTAATGTAACAAAAAAAGTTCCCTTTTAGTATGAAGCGATCTATAAACGAAACACTGATGAGATCAGTGAACACAGTGAGGTCAACTTATCACTGTTTAGTGTTATAATTACTCAGTTTGCCTCTATTTCCATTTTCATGCCAAAGGGCAGGACTTTTAAAGCCAAAATACATTCATTTCTTCATTTTTTATTAAAATTTTTTTAGTAGCTTCTATATGCCAGGCACTTTTTGCTAGGCTTTGAAGACAGAAAATGTATGAGCTAACACGTGCCCTGGAAGGCTCATTTGCTGTCACACTGTCAGGAACAATGACAATGTCTCTGCCACCACAGTGAGGTGTACAGGAAGTGCAAAGAGTATACACTCACATCAACAGACCATCTTGGAAACCCAGTTCCAGAACCTTATTCTAGATGAAAGAGTAACATAACAAAGTATTGCTACCATTTCCAAATAATAATGATATATGTAACACCTACTAGAAGCTTTTCTATTTTATTCAATGCATCTTCACATAAATCTTGTAGTTATTATGAGGGTCTCTACCTTATAAATGAAAAAAGTTAGTTTAAAAAATATTTCACTTGTCCAAGACAATGAGTTAACAACTGAAAGAGCCAGGATTTTCCAAGCCAGATATTTTCATTCAATATTCCACTACCTTCCATATGCCTCTCAAACAAAACCTTAGGGAGGTACTAAGTAAAGCAGATTACATTACAGAAGTTTTAGCACACAATCTTCGATGTGTGCACTGCACAATTTTGCAGGTGTGCAATAACCTGTGGATGGCATGGTGCTGCTGGCTGTATTAAGTATGAGCCTACAAACATATTAACTTGAAAAGCCTCAGAAGGGGTTCTCAAAGTTACCCCCAAATCACAACAATGTTTTTGATGATATAAAGAACAAACTTAGCAATGATTATCAGTGTTGAAAAGTTCAATACTCTCAGTCATTTTATGCTCACTTAATCATTGGGGCTCCCCTGGTTTCAACTACCTGGCTTATTGCACATAAACATACACACATGGAGCAACAGAACAAAACACACATGCATTCCCATACTGAACCCTAAATGAGATCAACTGGGAACCGAGGAGCTATCACAAGGCAGATTTAAAAAAAATAGGAGGGGTGTATCAAACCAGAGTAATACAGACGGATTTACCTGTTTCTTCATCTATCTTGAAAACACCAACACCAGAACCATCTCTAATGGAATATTGGATCTCCCCATCTCTTCCTGTGTCTTCATCATGAGCTGACACTGTCATTATTGATGAGCCAATAGGAACATCTTCTTTCACTACACCCTTTTCCACAAAGCTGGAAAACACGGGTGGGTGTAAGTTCTCGTTCACATCAATCACCTCAACTTCCACATAACACGTGGAAGACAGAGAAACTGGCTTCCCTTTGTCTTTGGCCCTCACTGTGAGATTATATACTTGCTTCCTCTCAAAGTCCAACTGCTGTATAATCCTAACTGCTCCACTGAGTTTATCCACATCAAAGATTCCTTCTCCGTGGTCCAGAAGACTGTATCTCACTTGGCTAGACTGACCTAAATCAGGATCATGGGCTTCTAACCACACGATTATGGTTCCTTCTGGCAGATCTTCTCGAACTTTCACACGATAGTTAGGTGGAATAAATTTAGGTGGGTTGTCATTAACATCCTCTAGTGATACTTTCAAAAGTACAGTAGAAAATAACTGGGGTTCTCCTTTGGCTTGATCCCTGGCTTCAATCTTTAAGTAATGCACATGTTGTACTTCACGATCCAAAGGGTGCACAATTTTAACAACTCCAGTGGTGCTGTCAATTAAAAATTTATCTGTATCTGTCAGAATAGAGTATGTCACATGTCCATTGGATCCTAGATCTTTATCAGTGGCTTCAACCTGGATGATTTCACTGTTTATTTCTTTGTCCTCATTCACTTCAACAAAATAGCTCTCCTGTAAAAATTCAGGTGGATTATCATTGGCATCCAGAATAATGATATCTAAAAGACGCCAAGCTGCCTTCTGTGGTATACCAAGGTCATAAACAGTAATATTCAGGGTGTATTTGTCTGTTGTTTCACGGTCAAGTGGAGATAAAATTTTTAGCATTCCTGTGTCCATGTCAATAATGAAGCAACTATCCTCATTTCCTCCAGAAATAGAATAGATGAGTTTTCCATTGAAGCCAGAGTCAAGGTCAGTAGAGTTCATAAAAATTATATTGGAACCCACGGGTCGGTTTTCCTTTACCTCAATACCAGTTGGAAGAGTATTCCTAAACTGGGGGGCATGAGTATTGACAGAGTGGGAATCAAAGAAAATATCCTCAACCTCCCCCTGACTGTGTAATTTATTTGCCTGCAGAAGTTTCTCTGCCAGCATTTTGGCAACACCAGTCTCTTCACATTGCAAGTTTACCGGCTTGCGACTGGCAGCCACAGTTATGTTGATATACAATGGTGTGGCAAAATTTTCTCCATCTGTAGCTGTAATTCTCAGACTGTGAAAAGATACCTTTGCACCTAAGCCATCCATTAGTGACTGCTTTAATGACAAAACTCCAGAGTTGGGGTTTAACCCAAACAAATCTAGTTCATTTCCAGTTTCGATCTGATACCTTACCAACTGAAGTTCATCAGCATCAATAGCAGAAACAGTAGTTATTTGCTCCCCCACACTTAAATCTCTGGGAACTGTTCCTTCACAATTTATTTTCTCAAACAAAGGTGTGTTGTCATTTAAGTTATTCAGAGTAACTGTTGCAAGGACTTCAACTTCCCGGCGGTATGGCAAGCCCCAGTCTGATGCTCTAATCCTGAGAGTATATACACGAGGCATCAGTTCATAGTCCAAGTTTTCTGAAGTGCTCACAGCACCAGTGAAATGGTCAATCACAAATGGCACAGGATTTATATTTGCAATACTGTAAGTCACATAACCATTCTCACCATCATCAGGGTCTACAGCACTCACTCTCAAGACAGTAGTACCGATGGATGCATTCTCATCAAAGGATGCTTTGTATGCTGTCTGGGTAAATTCAGGGGGATTGCTATTTGCACTTAAGACTTTAACCAAGACTTTGGTGGAGGCTTTTTGGTCACTCGTTGTTACCTCAAATTCAAAATGAGATGCCTGCTGTCTTCTAATTGGTTCTAAAATGGAAATGAGACCAGTGTTGTGATTTAAACTAAATTTAGCTTTTCCAGGTGTACTTTTAAAAACATACCTCAAATGGGAATAACTGGGAATGGCTTTTACCATGACCACAGGTGTACCGGGAGGAGAAAATTCACTTATTTCTGCTCTGTAAACATCCTTTTCAAACCTGACTGGCCCAGCTCTGAACTGTGGAGAAGTCAGATGAATTACTTTTACTGAAGAAAACTGGGGAGGAGTTCCTTTATCTTTAGCCTGTAGTGTCAGATTATAGCCAAAAGGATGACTATCCCAGTCAATGCTACTAATGGCTTTGACTTTATACTCTTTACTCCCTGGAAAGGATCTTACTGTTCTAAACTGTTGAAGAAGGTCACCTGCCACGATGCTTAGAGAAGCTATTTCCCCACTGGCACCCTGATCACAGTCATCCATGGTCACAATTGCATATGTTGGGTCTCTGTCCAGTTCTGACGGTGACAATGTCACTGCTGTTATCACAGGAGCACATTCATTCGCCTGTTCCACATGAACTGTTAGCTTTGCCAAGCTGCTGATACCACTGCTACCATACAGTTTCATTCCACGGTCCACAGCAAGGATTTCTAATTCATAGAGCTGGGTCTCCATGTAATCAAGTCTACCAGTTAAAACTACTGCACCACTGGTTGGGTGAATAGCAAACATGTCTGTTCGGTCTTTAAAACTGTAGTAAAATTCTCCATTAGTTCCTATATCTGCATCTGTGGCACTGACTCTTGCAATACTGGTCCTTATCGGTGTGTTTTCAGGTAAGGAAACACTGTATGAGGTGGGTGAGAATAATGGTCTCAAGTCATTTATATCCAGCACTTGCACTCTGACCCTTGTTCGTGCCTCAGCATTAGTGTTTTTCTCAACTGCTTTGACTATCAATGTGTACTGGTCTTTCACTTCTCTATTAAGAATAGCTGTATTTCCTCCTTTGGTCCTTATTCTTAGAAAGCAAAAGTCTCCGAGAATGTACTCTTCAGCTTTGAACAGGTTTTCATTGTCTCCTGAGACAATTTTGTACCTTAATTCCCACAATGGATTTGTAATGTAAATACCCATCTTAACAGGATGCCCAACATAGGTCTTGGCAGCAGAGTTCTCATGCACAGTGACATTGTACTGGAAATGTGTAAACTGGATAGACGGAGTCTGTTCAAGTCTTTGGCTTCCATCACTATCTCCAAAATGTTGTAGGAGGAGGAGCAGAAGCAGAAGCAAGGCCAAATGTCTCCCCATTGCTTAAATCTCAGGAGCCTAAAATAAAAGAAATAGCAATTATTACTTTGGGGAAATAAAACAAGTTGAGAAGTATAAATTGTTCTAAACCTGACATTCTAATAAAGTATTTTCTATCTGTATGGAATAGAAATAAATACAATGGTTTTGAGTTTTTCCCCCTGCTTTTCAAAGATGAATATCAAGCACTCTTCTAGTATGTCTAGAATTAGTAAGCTTCACAAAAACTTTTTGAATGACAAGTTCTTATTTTTCATATTTGATGACTCAAAAATCAAAAAATAATTAAAGACTGCCAACTGCAATACTAAATTTTATTCTTAGACATAACATAAATATTCAAAGCAAACATAAGAAATTATTTAAAAGGTAAGTGAATGCTGTTTATATTTACTTACACATAATGAATCAAATGCTCAAGTACTTATAAACTTAATGCTACTACAGTATCGTGAGCATACAAAGCTTCTTCCAACTAATTGAAAAACTTTCCTCAACAATGGTTGTATATGACCTTGTATAATGACAGTTTGTAATTTCACTTCAAAATGCATATTTCTTTATAAAAATGATTAAGTTGCCCCAGTATGATGGCATACACCTGTAATCCCAGCACTCAGGAGGCTAAGGCAAGAGGATTGTTGAGAATTCGAGGCCAGCCTGAGCTACACAGCAAGACCCTATCTCAAAAAAACAAACAAACAAAAAAGATCATGTTCCTTCCATACACCCCTACACAATACATTACTATCTAATTTAATCCTCTATAACTCTTTACAGATATTAAAATAATTATCAACTTTTATATGGAATATCTGAAATACTAAAATAAGCACACAAAAAGGTCAGTTTACAATACAAAAACCACAATTCAGCAGTTTGGTATCAGTGATTTTCCCATGTAAGTTAGAGAAGGAAATCTCACCAACAACCGCAATATTTTATCACACCACTATGGTCAGCAACCAGTAATTCATACAGTATCTACTATCTTCAAAACCTGAACCACCTGTCACTCAGGAGCCCCCAGTAGAAGACAAGATAGACACAAACAAAAGCCACGGTCACCAAAGTCAACACATGTAAAGGATCAAATCAATGCAGCAAGGTGACCAGACTACAAGAGGGTCAGAGATTGACTTCAGGAACAAAAAGGAAATTGAAGAAAGGGTGCCTCTGACAAGGGTGAAAGTAGTCCAAGTCCACTGGAACAATTATTCTCAGACCGACTATTCTTGTTTTGTTTTGTTTTTTTGGTACCAGGGATGAAACTCACGACCTTGCGCTTGAGAGGCAGGCGGCAGAACCACTGAGCTAAATCCCCAGCCCAAGACTGATTGGTATTTATCATGCCAATAAATTCATCTTGTAAATCACTTTCACAAAAGCCCCCAGCAGCATCAAGAAGACAGCATGGTACCCTTACAAAGTAACTCTCAAATTAATATTCACAAAATGTGAATGCTACCAAGGTGAAAAAAATACCAGACTGGAGAGCTGGTTTCTTAGCCGGGTTCAAATTACCATGGCAGCATTAATTTACAGTACCTTAACTCAGCTACTGCCAACTTTAGTCATTAGTCATTTCATTAGAGTTGAGGGGGAAAAGACCTGACCTGATATGCTTAAAGCTATTAGAAGCTTAATTGATACTGAATCACATTCAAGTTGGCCACTCTAACTTGTTCTTTAGCTACCACGTCTTCTCCTCAGCAGTCAGGAAATAAGATCTTTGGCCTCTAGAAAAAAATTTCTCCTTAAACAAAATAAGACAAATTTCTCCCCAAACTGTAAATCTCATTTTGGTCAATAGTTTTAATATTCAGGAAAATATGAATCTTATAAAATGATCCAGTGATTGTAACAAAACTAGAAAGTTCAATTCAACCTAAACAGATTATGGATCTGCTATCAGCCAGCACTAAACTAAGTATGTAGAATTAAAGATTAGTAAAGGCAAAGAAAGATCCCAACCCCAAAGCATTAATAAACTAGGAGTAAAAAATACATGAAGAAAATGCTTTAAAGAACATTTACAAAGATGATATTAAATAATCACTATCTTTTGTTTGAGGAAAACATATTATGTTTTAGAAGACATTATAACTCTTATCCCTTTATTACAAATGAAATGAGAAACCCAACATTTTTCAACAGGGGAATGACACCTCCCAGTTGAAAGCGATGAAGAATCACTCTGGTATTTGTGCAGTACAGGGCAGCAAGAGCAAAACCTGGAGGGAGCCCAGTGAGAGGACATTGCAGTAATGGAAATTGGACACTTCCGTGGTTTCTAAGTGTCCCCCGAAAAGCCCACATGTTAAAAGCTTTGTCACCTGCCTGTAGCACTCTGGAAGATGGTGGAACCTTTAGGAGTCGGGACCTACTTAGAGGAAGTTAGGTTATTGGGAATGTGTCCTTGAAGGGGACACGTGGACCAAAACCTCTCTCTGTCTCTTGGCTTCCCTACCACAAAGTGAACGGACATCCTCCACTATCAGTTCCATGTACTTGTACCACCACCAGCCCAAAGCAACATCACCAAGGAACCCATGCAAAGACAACTCTGACACAGCGAGTCAAACTTTTCTCCTTCTCAGTTTCTCCTATCTCAGGTATTTTGTCACAGTAACAGAAAGCTAATACACAGAAGCCTACTGGTTATCAAAAAAAAAAATTCCAAGTGGGCAGATATTTGGAAAGATCAAGCCTGGAGATATAGTTTGGAGTGTTAGAATATGGTAGATGGTACTGAAAACAACAAAACTGAATGAGAACACGAACAAAGAGGACACAGATAAAATCAAGGACAGAAACTTGTTGCTCCTCAAGATTTGAGCAGTGGAAGAGGACCAACTAGCAAAGGAGACAGAGAGTAGCCACCCAGATAGGTAAGCAAACCAAAAGACAGTGTAAGCAAATAAATCTTGTAGAGAATTTGGAGCCTACTTTCAGAATTTGAAAATGATCCATAAAAACTGACTGGCATTATGCTGCACTGACCACCACTGGTTTTAAAGAAGAAGAAGAAAAAGAAAAAGCCCTAGATTCCCCCAAGACATCAGGAAAAGATGTAAAATTGCCACAGCTGTCCTCTCCCCAAGACTTCCCACTCAGTATAATCAATGCCCCTGCAGTCATCCAACACATCCGCCAACACCCCAATCACCTTCCACAACCCACCCACCACAGTCCTCATCACAGCTGAAATAAACTTTTTGGATTCATAACTGAGGACTTTTAAAACCCCAAATTTATTCTGCAAATTTGACTAACAGAATACGGTACCACTAATTAGAATAAATTATTTAAAGCATTCGCTGATGGGGTAAAATCCGCATTTTAGGAGATATTATGAACCCTCCAGTAACGAAACCAAGAACAGTAAACTCAAGTTTCACTATAAAAACCATCATTAAACTATGGCTGTTAATCTATGCAAAACAAATACTAAAGCTGTGGGGCGGGGTACTAATACCATTTCATCTAAAAAGTATGCTAGTACCTACAGCTCATGGTTATGAAAAGTAAACTTCAGAAACCATTTTAGCCTAGGGCTACACTATTTAGAAGGTGATCACAATACTTGCAATTATAGTAATTTTGGATTTCTAAAATACATTTTCCAATGTGAAAACAAAGAGTGTTTACTTAGTTCAGTCTTTTGGGAAAACAGCCTCAGGTCCAAAGCTTAAATATATTTAGTATAGATCTCTAAAAATCCATAAATATAGGAGGAAAAATAATTTTTTGGTAAAAGCAAGACATTAATATCTTTATATTTCACTATACTGCCTTTCTTCTAAAATGTTTCAATCGATTACCATAAATGCACATCCTTCACAAAAGATAGCCTGTGCTGAGAACATAACTGCACTTATTCACATATTTAGATCTACAACCTAAGATTTAGAAGTGTTTCATATGCTTCAAAGACAATAGGTGGAAATACAGCTTTACATAATACATAAAATTAGTAAGTTTATTATTGAGAGTTTACCACTCTTACATGCACAAATAGTCCTTTTTGCCTTCTTCACATTAGGGAAACATTATTAAACTCTCTATTCCACATAAGATTAAGACAAAAATGTAGAAAGATATTAAAGTTAAGAACTTTGCTTTCACCCTCCTTGTACTCTAGCCAATTTAATATGTTACTGAATGTGGAGCTTATGTTCAGGTCAGTCTTTTCTTTTATGGATGCTGGAGATTGAACTCAAACCCTCCTGACACATGCTAAGCACCTGCTCTACCACTAAGGCTCCAATTCCTTAGTGTCATTTTTAAACGTTCTTTAAAAGATTTCTACAAACTGCAAGGAAGACACCCACATTTTCAAAGCAATGTCACAAAGTGTTTAAAAAAACAAATATGAAATGTAAATAGCTCTTAAAAATATTGTATACCAAATAAAATTTTAATGATTTCCAAAACTCATTTGATATAAGTAAAAGGAACTATAGTATCTCACTTAAAACGCCTGTTACTCAGCTATAATCAATCCACAGCTTCCAAAAATACATTTCAGATCTCACAATGAAAGACTAATGAGTAGATCCTGCTTATTTTCTGGATGCATACTAATTCTTTTTAACCCATCTGTGTTACTTTTCTCTCATTACTGAGACAAAATCCCCAACACTCAAAGTTAAAGGGGAAGGGGTTTATTTAGCTCACAGTTTTTAGAGGTTTCAGTCCATAATGGGCTGGCTCCAAGGCAAGGTAGAGGAGAAACAATTCATGGTACCCAAATGGTAACAAAAGCAACAAGGGACCTTAACAGTGTCTTCCTGCCCCATTTACTTTATTCAGACTACCTAGGGCAGGCAGCACTCACACCCTCAATCCTAGTGCCCTCAGGCCTATCCCCACCATGAGCCAGTCACACACTCTAGACTCAGCCACCTCTGCAAAAGCAGGAGGTTTTGAGGGGACACTTGAACAGAAGCCATAACACCATCTCAGCAGGATTTTCAGTAAATATAGAAGTGAGAGTTATGAACCTAGAAAATGAA